GAGGGAAGAGGTGCACAGTAGGAGATGCCTTTGGCTGCCCTGCAAGACAATGAGATCCCCTGTTAGAATAGACAAACCAGAGCCTGCCTGTTCAAAATATCAGAAATTCCTGTTCCTGCCAGTGTAACAGATCCCATGTCTCACAAGCCCTGGGATCAGGAGATCTTCTCAGGGTGAAGGCCTGGGAATTAGGATCAGAAGTATCTAATCCTGTCTCGACCTGTAGAAATGAAAGGGTTAGAGCATCATTGATCTCACTGCATATGGGCTGTTTTCAATATTTATGGTTTTTTTTTAATATAATATCTATGGAATTCTGAGACACATGGTGGAAGGTGCTGTAGAAATGTGAAGCATTGTCACTATGGTTTCCAAGGTCAGCTTATATAAATGCATTGTTTCTCAGAGAAAAGAAAATAGTTCTTCTAACCATCTAAAAACTTAGGCATTTTACCCATAAATCCTCAATATTAGTGCCATATTTTGATACCCTTCGGCTGTCTCTAAGATGAAAGGGAAGGACAGCTGCTTTTGTAGAAAAACTTGCCAGCTGTCTATACTGGCCGCTTGAATTTCTGCAAGAACACTGACTATCTCATGTAAGATCGTCAGTGTTCTTGCGGAAATACTATGCTGCTCCCATTCGGGCAAAAGCCCTCTTGTGCAAATGATTTGCGCAAGAGGGCCAGTGTAAACAGCACAGTATTGTTTTCCGCAAAAAAGCCCCGATGGCTAAAAAAGTGCTTTTGTGGAAAAGCATCCTGCCAATCTAGACGTGCTTTTCCGAAAATGCTTTAAATGGAAAACTTTTCCATTAAAAGCATTTTCGGAAAATCATGCCAGTTTAGACGTAGCCTTCCTGACACTGAGTAGCAGCTTTTGAAATGGTGCCATTAAATGCAGCAGAAGCTATCACTTATTTAATCAATTAGGGATAGATTTCTATGGTGAAAACACTGTCTTGTTTATCGAGAACACAATATCTATGATTGGCACAATTGGGTAATTTTGCAAGAAAGTGTTATTTATCGATTCAAATATATTTTGCTTTCCTCCCATTTAATAAGCTTGGTCTCCATTAACCAGTTTCAATTCATTAACTTTAGTGGAAGGTTTGCCTGAATAAAGAGAAAGTAGAGGTTGCAGGGTCAGGTTCTATGTGTTTGCAAACCTTGGACATGCACCTCTCAGTGTTTTTGCTCTTCTCTTTTGCTAGTTTTCTTAGTCAATATAATCTTTGAGTGTTTCCTCATGCACAGGTCATGTATCCGTGACAGTAACTGATTGACAATGAGAGGTTGGAGGATCAGAGTTTAGTGCTAAAGAGAAATATTATTTTGTACTAAAGTTTGGTTCCCATCTGTATTCGCTGATTTTAGTGAGAGACAGTCACACAGGAAAACTGCAGTTCATTCTGCCTTGGAATACATTGTGGTTATTAATTTTGCGGTATTTCTTAGGGCTTAAGCTTAGAACTTAATTTGTCTATTCCGGGCTTTGGGCCTGCTTCATTAGAGGCAAAGAGGAATTTGGGGGAATCTCATTTTTCCTAAAGAAAAAACGCTATAACAAATCATTATAAAAAAGCAATTGAATCCAAAGGATGGGACAGGAGATCTACATGCTTAAATAATGTTTAAAAGTCCTGCAAAATGCTACACAGCTCTGAAAGACAGCAAGAGAAAGAGAGTTTGTTTTTGAACTATCCTATGGACTTCTATAGCAGGGATAAAGTCTCTAGTCTGCAACGTCAGTCAACAAATGCATCGTTAAACTACCATTGTCTTTCTGAATCTGTTGGTCTTTCTACTAAGGGTCAGACCCTCTAACACTTGTATGACAAACAACCTCCTATCACATCACAGGTGCCCGTTCCTGTTACTGAACGGTCTAGTTATCAAACAAGCTTGTTGCCAAAGTGACTGCAGTGGAAGCGGTCACGGTAGAGACTTATTCACGAGACCCATCGCTGCTGAAGGGCCCAGTGTAGTATGCATCTGATAACTTTGCTAAATTGAGGATCAAGTCTAGAGGAACTTGCAAATCACCACCACAATGTTTGATTTAATGTGCTATGGAGACAGAAAGACAACAAAGACACAATCTGCTTAGGAGGGGCACAAAAGTTGAGTAAATTTTAAAATTGTTGGTAACATTCATGCACCTGCCTTGTCTCTGGTGTCAAATTGGGATGCCTTTCCTCACACCAGGCTGCACCTTACTGCACAGGAGGTTGGTCCCATTTACAGTGATGGGACTGTTTGAAAAACAAGTTGCTACTCAGCACAAGCAAAGCTGCCGCAGTCTGCACCTTAGTTACTTAACACTGTGTATAGGTCAAAGCATCCAATAACGTTATTTGAGCCAATGCAGTCAGCCCTGACTTACTACCTTGGCTAAGATGGGTCCATCAGGTCCCCAAAGCTGCTGTGTAATTGAAGCCGGCTGGTCCAGCCAGCATCCTGATCACTGAATTGTGAATCTGGCAGACATACAGTCCATCTCCTACAAAGCCACTCAGCCTTTGCAGGCTGGCCAGCAACCTCGGTACCATGCTCCAGGCTTCAGGAGCAGAATTAGTGAAATGTCTGTAAAGCCCTCTCCTCTTGCCAGCTGCTCAATCCCACCCCATTTAGCTAACATGTTTCATATTTCAAAGTTTGGAGCGGGGCCTTGGTTACATTTCCAAATTGCAATCCCGTGGTAGCTACCTTCCTCTAAGATACAATGGGATGGCTCTTCTGTGTGAGACGTATTTTTTAAATTATATTAGTGTTTTATTTAGCTCTAAGGGTACGTTTACTCTGCACCCAGATCTTGAAATAAGGTCTGAAATTGGAACTACGCAAATTGCATAGCTTCTTTCAAGTTATATTCGAAATTGCCATTTTACAAATTTGGTGCTGTCTACACAGCACTGAATTTTGAAATAGAGCACTATTCCAAAATGTCCCTTAATCCCCAGGGAATGAGGTTTACAGGGACATCGGAATAGCGAGTCCATTATATTTGAAAAGAATGGGCTTGCTCGACAGACATGGAATAGCTATTTTGGGATACTCCTGGAATCCCAAGATAGCTCCACAGTGCAAACATAGCCTAAATGAGCAATGCTACAGATAACGCTAGTTGAAAATTATGCATCAAAACTTCTTTCAATGGAAAATTGGGTTTCAGCTAAACTAATTTAGCCTCTGTTTATTTAAAAACAGTGTTGCTGAAAATTCACAAAATGCCCAAAGTGGAAATATTAAGACAAAAAGCTGTCAGTAACTGAATCATTTTGGATTTTCAGCTGAAAATGCTTGTTTGGGATTTTGATCCCATTGACATGAAACTGATATTTTTGTTTTGCTTTTGATAAAATTATTTTATAGAATAAAACCCCATTTTCTGACCCGCTCTCTTTACGGAACATTTCCTTCCAGCAGTCCCAGACAAATCAGATTTTAAAGAATCAGGGCCCAATTATTTTAATATAACATTAGATTTCACGAGTTTGGACACCTGTCTTAGGAGCCTGGGGTGAGTTTTGTTGGAGCTTTGTTGCAGACAATGGAGCAATAGGTGTCCGCAGGGGCTGAGAAACTGTCTCTGGATTTCTTTCACACACCAGTGTTAATGGGAAACAGTTCAAACCTTCCAAGAAAAAGGGGGAGAATATTTTCCTTAAGGAGCTAACACTAGAGCATTGTGCCTGGGGATCCAGTGGTAGAAACTCAATAGGTTTCATGGCCAAATTCAATATTCTCTTCCTTGGGAAAAGGAAAGAAAATCCAACATGGAAGGTGCACCCCTGTTATGACTGTCTACACAGAGACTAAATATTATTCCCAATGCAGTGCAAATGCCTATATCTAAAGAGAGGTGTCCCAAGCCAAGTATGAAGATCGAGAAAACAGGAAAAACATCATGGAAAACGTACAGTGCAGTCAGGGGAAGGAAAGTTTGTGAATAATGCAGTGACTTACCAAGGACGGTCAGCTGGGTTCCTCCTCCGAAGACCCCCCACTGTGACACACAGCTGTACAAAAACCTGTCATGTTGAATGGCAGGAAGAGATTGTCACCACTGCCATGTGGAAAAAGAGGTGCATGGTAAGTCCCACTGGTTCTCCATGGGACTGCAGGCATCTCTTTCGTGGAGAAACGTGTTGTGCAATCGAAAGATTGAAGATCCACTGGGAGACGAAGCAATAGAGCATTCCCTGGGAGAACTCACTATAAGGCCAAATTTTGGTCTCTTGTATGTAGCCCACATAAGAGAGATGAAGATGGTCTTGGTGGGAAGGCACTGGAGTGGCAGTCAGGAGACCAGGGTTCAATTTCTGGCTCTGCTACAGACTGTAAAATGGGTGGCACAATTTCCCTACCTCCCAGGGTGATATAAGGAAAAAATTACATGAATTCATTGTGCATTGATACAGGTGGGAAATGTTTCTGGAAAGATGCAAAGGGCCTTTGTGCTCTTCTTCCTTGCTGGGTTCCACCACCACTCTGCTCCCTGTGTGTCTGTGTTGCTCTGGCTGGAGTTCTGCGGAGAATGGTTCTGGGTGCGGCAGGGCACACAACTGGATTGCATGTTGGTACTTTTTGCCTTGTAACCATAACAGGGCAATACTGGGCCAAAGCATTACTGGTGTCATTGTACTGACTTCAGCGGAATTGCGTCAGGGTAAGAGGTAAGCACCTGAGCTGTGAGTACTGACTGGAGTCCGTCGTGTACGTTATCGATAAATAACCGTACTTAGCAAGTGTGTCTAACGTAGGGCTCTGGGAGCACCAGCATCCTTCTTGATGTAATAATGTACAACATGCCCTTGTGACCCACCCCATAAGTGTCAGCGAAGGGTCAGATCACACATGCCAGCAACTGCACACGTGTTGGCAGGATGCTGTTCAAACCATGTGCCGTCCGTGTCTACTCTCCGAATCACGCAGCCTCTATGCACCAGCCCATGAGGAGCTATGGTTGTCCCCTCCCACATTGTCCTAACTTACCTGCTCAGGAGCCTTGGACAATGCAATGGGCCAAGGGTTGCTCTGAGTCGCTGGGCATGGCCCTTCTGCCGGAAGCTGCGTCATCCCGTCCTCTGTTCACTCTCAACTGAACTGTGCAGGGCGCTGGGGAAATTGCCTATTAGACACGTCTGAGCAATGGCTGAAGATCCATGTGCCATGAAACCAGCCACCACCCTGCTCTGCCTGACTCCCAGCAGTAGAGTTGCCAGTTTTGGCTGGCCATGTTCCTGGAGGTTTCAGCACATGACACGATCTTTAATTAAAAATTGATCATTAATTCCTGGCGACTGCAGGACAATCCTGGTGGGTTGGACAGCAGTGGATCAGATGCTGATGTTATTGTCAGTCTCTCTAGAATGAGTGAAGATGCTCAGAATCTTTTGCTGCTTCTCTGCGTCATCTCCATCATGCACTGGCGTGTGCTGGGAAATGCTCCCAGATACTGTTGGTACCAAAGCAGAGGTGTCTGCTCAGCCACTGTCCCGGGTGCAGCCAGGCCAGCACGTTCCTCACGGGAGCCCCCACTTGCCTTCAGAATTCCCATTGTGCCAGCAACCACGGCCACTGGCTGCGCGCTGAGCAGCGGGTGCTGCAGGGAATCCCTGCGTGTGTGGCCTGGCCCCTGCCCCTGCCCGTAGGGGAGCAGCTCTGGGGCCTGCTGCCCAGCAGTGTGTGGCGTGTGAGGTCCTCTCAGCACAGGCCGGGCCAGTGAACGTCTAGGCTGTGAGCTGTGTCCATGCTCAGCTGGCTTCTTATGAATGAAGCCGGGGCCTGGACCCTCCCTCTGACTGGTGAGCAAATGGCACCAGCTTAATGTCCTCGTCGGTGGGCTGCCTCTGCCCCAATAGTCATGGGCTGTGTGTGAGGCTTGATGCGGCTCTTGCTGGAGTTGGTGGGAAAGCACCTGTGACTACAGTGGTTCTGGCTCGGACCCTACAAGAATCTCCTGAGCAGTGGAGGGCAGGTCTGAGCCATAGCAAAAGGGCCTAAATGCCAGTGTAGATAAGCATTTTGGTTCTGAGTGTCCTAGGTATTTAATCACCAAAATATACAAGCAGGGGCATAGCGGCACCCCAATGTCAAACTCTCATTCATTTCAATGTCTTTTATAATTAGCTCTTAGTAGACTAATTCTTATTGACTTTCAGTTGAGAATGGATTTTTTTGGTGGATTTTTAGTGGAGTTATTCACTTTGACAAAGACCCCAAATTCTTAATGTAGGTTTTCGGTGCATTCGTCTATCTACTTCAGTTCCCATTTTCAAGGGAAGAGAACCGATAGTCCTTGAAGAAAGGAAGTTAATCTCTTTCTACACCTCTTCCTTAATGAAGTACTATTTAAAATCTGAGTACAGCAATGGGTTCTAGTGGCAACTGACTCTCTGAGATCTTAAGAGTTGTAGCTCTTTGCCCTTTTGGGTTCTGCATAGTGTTGGTGCTCCGCAAACCATAATTTAGGATTCTTATCTCCCATTTGGTGAGTGGTGCACGAGCTGGGAGGGAAGGATAGTGGGTGTTAAAGTACTTTAGGAGAAAGTTTTAAAAATACCCTCATTGTATATAACTCATCCATATTGCAGCCTCTCTCTGCTCTGCTTTCCCCTTATTTCCTTCTATAGGAGGTTGCAGTGCAGGACGGGCCAAATAATCATCCATCCGTGTTACTCATTTGGTGAGTGGCAGCAGCACAGTGGAATCTGACAAATACATGGTATATGTGACACAAATGTGGCATTTTACCTCCTTACCCTGATTCTCCTACAAGAATTCGGACATGTCTACACTACCCCGCTAGTTCGAACTAGCGCGGCACGGGGTTCGCACTAGTCGGCTTTTAAAAATGGCAGAGCCGGCTTTATGCTAATGAAGCCTGGGAAATTCAAATCCCGGGCTTCATTAGCACGTTCGGTATGCATACATTACCCCGCTAGTTCGAACTAGCGGGGTAGTGTAGACATACCCTCAGTGTTGAAGGTCCAGCTTTGGCTGTCCAAATCAAAGCCCTCCCTGATGCATATTCCAAGTAGGAATAAGAGATCCTCCAGAATAGGGCTTTATTCCGGAGGATCGCGCCAGTCTGGACGCTTTTATCCGGCTTTTCCCCAAGCCGGAAAAAAAAGCGGCGGCCATGTTTATTTAAATCCCGCGGGGGATATTTAAACCCCCCGCGGATTTCCCTATTCCAAAGTTCTAAATTAGCATGGCTATTCCGAAGAAGGGGCCAGTGTAGACACAGCCATAGGGTTTACTGGGACACAGGCTGTCTGCTCTGGCCTGTCAGGCCCCAGACTGTGCAGAGCCCAAGAACTCACGGGGCCAACGTGGTCCCAAAGAATGTACCTCATCAGTAACATACTGATTCCATTTGAAAAGCATCTTTCATTTGAAGACTCACAAAGAACTTTGCACGTTTACTCTGACAGTCAAAGTGGACACAAAGGTCACTACTTCCCCTCTGGCAGTAACGCAGCAGCTGTCATGCGATGGCCAGAGCACTAGCTAACTCAGGCAAATTTCCAAGAACTGCTGGCAGGGGAAGATAAGAGGGTAAACAGCAGCCACCTAATCAGGTGTTTTCAGGATATTAAAGGCCACTCTTTACAAGAGGGATTTGGGTCAGTACTGATCAGATGAGGCCAGGAGCTCTGGCTACAGCCCATCCCAGGTAACAGCTGTTGGCACTCCAGCACCCTCCCTGCATTTGGACACTGATTCCCCTACATAGCTCCAGTGATTCCAGTGCGTCTCCCTGCAGAATGACTAATGATCAGTGGGATGGAGGGGCTGGAATCTGCTCCATGCGAGACCGGAGGGTGACTGAACACCTCCTCACAGAGCTCTCGGCAGTGCTGGTGACCCCTGTGAACTTGGTCCCAGCCCAGCCCTGCGGTGCTGTTGGGAGCTGCTAGGATCCCAGTCCAAGCTGGGCTGGCTGCAGGCCCCGGGGGTTTGCATCCCGCTCTCATGCAGCCCACTCTCACCCAGTGATCCCCTGACACAGCGTGCGCTGTGCACATATTTGTGTCGAAGCAGTTGTCCCCCCCAGGTGGATGGTGAGAGCCAGAGGGACCCGTGTTAGGGAAGAACAGGCCCAGCCTGGGAAATGGCTCCCCCATAACATCTCTCCCCCTCTCCTGATCTCCATGCTGTTGCAAATTTCTTGGCGGAAATGGCCCCCCCGTAACGTCTCTCCCCCTCCCCCGATCTTCATGCTGTGGCACGTCGCTTGGCGTCACTTCTTATCAGCCTGTGTGAGACACCACAAGTGAGACCCTCACGGGACAGAAATCCATGTTGGCTGCGGGAAGGGGAGTTTGTCTGGCTGGCTGACGAGGTGACTCTTGCAGGGAACACACCAGGTGCAAAAGGGACACAAGAAGTGAAGCTCCCCACACACAGCGATAGTCGAATGTTTTGGTTTTATTAATGACATAACAAGGCTGCATGGGAGACTACAGCAGGGGGGACTGGCCAGGGATTGCCGGGGGTGGGAGCAGAGGGGAACAGGGAACAAAGACAGGTGTCGTGTGGATCAATAGAATCCCACCCGCAGAAGAGGAAGGAGATTTGCTGGAAATCAGCATCATGGCCACGCTAGGAGATCCCGTCTCCTCTGGGAGCCCCCGACGGGCTGACGTGGGTACCAGCTGCGCCCCCTGGGGTCAGAGGGTTACGAACACTCCGATCGCTTCAGGGACCTCTCCAGGGTCTTGCCATCGTGTGTCACCTGACAGGTGTAGGTATCAGAGGACGTCCACTTGGATGCATCCAGAGACAGGTAACTGCTGGCCATGTACTTGTTGTCGCTCTGCTTGGACGGCCTGGTGGTCTCCACTCCTGTGGAGATCTGCTGGCCATCAGCTTTCCAGGTCACTTGGACGGAGCCGGGGTAGAAGCTGCCCAGCAGACACACCAGGGTGGCTTTGTTCTTGGTTTGCAGCTCCTCCGAGGATGGAGGGAAGAGGTTCACGGTAGGAGATGCCTTTGGCTGCCCTGCAAGACAATGAGATCCCCTGTTAGAATGGACAAATCGAGAGCCTGCCTGTTCCGAATATCAGAAATTCCTGTTCCTGACCATGTAACAGATCCCATCTCTCACAAGCCCTGAGAGCAGGGGAATTGTCGCCCTGAGACCAGGGGAATTGTCTGAGATGGGAGATCTCCTCAGGGTGAAGGCGGAGGCCTGGGTCTCAGGATCAGAAGGGTCTATTTCTGTCTATGCCACAGCCTCCCCTTGGGACTCTGGCTGAGTGAGTAGCTGTCTCTGTGCCTGTGAAAGGGGATAATATCACGCTACTCTTCCTTTCTGACCCTTTTGTCAGTGACGGCTGGATCCTCTGTTCTTTGACACCCCTACGTACCACTGACATAAATGACAGTTTGGGGCCTGTAAGGGGGGCAGTGCTTGAGCTAGTCTTCGGGGTCATTTCTTAGGGTCCAATTTTGTCTTTAGGCTTGGCTACAGTAGACAGTGATTTGAGGTCTGAGTGCTCTCCCATTGAACCCGGTACTTCATGAGCATAGAAGAGTAGCTGGAGTCAGTGGGAGAGCGGGCACTGTCGGCCTTCTGGGGTGGAAGACACCACTGTAAGTACACTGAGTTCATCTACACTTTTGGTGTGTTGTGTAGCCCTGGCCTTAGTGTGCAATGTGTGTGGTAGGGCAGTGGCAGCTACTGCAGAGAACACAGAGTTATTTGGGGAAAGCCACACTTTTTTAAGGAAAATTCCAATATAATGAAATGACAAAGAGAGGAAAAGGACTCAAGGATGGGAAAGGGGTCTAGACACTTGGTAACATTATATGGAATGAGTTTAAAATAGTTTAGGATATTCAGAGAGAGAGAGAGAGAGAGAAAAAGAGAGAGAGAGAGAGCGAGCTCTTGCAATAAAGTCCATGGCATTGCATGGTATGCATAAAGTTTCAAGATATGAAACCGTGCGAAGCAAGTCAATCAATCTGTAGAGGAGCTATCATAGTCTATCATGTGCTGAGAGTCTTTCTGCTAAGGGTGGATCTTCTGCATAACACCTGGCTGGGAAACAGCCTTTGGTTACACGGTGGTACCAGCTGGACACTGCTGTTGCAGAAATGTTCTGGGACCTACAGGCTGGTTTGCTGAAATGTTCTGGGACC